GATACATGAGTGGTTGGATGGTTGAATATATACATTCACGTACCTTTTTATGTATTTATTTTAGTATTACAAGCCTGGTTTTATATTTACACACATACAGTTATGATGATGAAAGATCAGTCATCCTGTACTGTGAATGTACAGGAACCACCACAAAATTATAAAGCCTAAGTGGTGATGCTATCAGTGACCCTCAGTGAGGATCCATTGTTTCCTCTCTTTGGACCAGGAAGTGGACTGCAACTGAATCTATTCTGACGAGTTTCCTTTTTTGCTATCTGTCCTTTCCACCTATATTAGAAATAAAGTTATCTCAATTTATGGAGCTGTGCATTTCTTCCCATTTGTAGAGTTTGCACATAGAAAGCTCATTGAGATTTGGTCCTTAGTGGCCTGAATAAGCAATGGAAAAGTGTACTGTATCCCACGCCATGGTACCAAAATTGGCATTTTTATTTTACTAGAGATAGAAAAATGCAATTTATTCTCCTTTATGGGTTGACATGAAGCTTTCTTTTTCAATAAACATTTTCAATTAAGAAAATATTTGATTTGAAGAAAAATATGAAGTAAATGATAATACACGGTATGGCAAATATGAGGATTACATGTGAATAAGTTCAGGAAACTAATAAAAACAAGGATCAGGAGTTGGGAGACCTGGGTTTGAATCCTGGTTCAGCTCCTAATGTAGACAGATGAACTTAGACCTCCGAGCCAGTTTCTTGATGTATAAAGCTGAAATGATGGTATTTTCCTTGTCTACTTGACAAGCGTTTGGTAACAAACAGAATGCATATGAAAGTGTTTTCTTAAGACTGCAAAGTGACATTGCAATGAATTAGCAAAAAATACTAATATTACTAGCAAGTTATTCAAGAAAGCTTAGGAGTCCGTGAATGAAAACTTTCAAGAACAAATCGTTTTGTTTTGTTTTGTTTTCCCCATGGTGAAAACTGAGCTGGTTCCAAATTTAGGTTGACGGTTTTCCTGTCACTACTTACGGGAAGAAGACTGAAACATATGCTCACTTCTTTCCAGATTGCATAAATGCCTTCGCCTTATACTTAGCACTGCTCTGGAACTGTATGGAAGTTGCTATTATTTGAATGTTTATGAAGTACCATTTATTGTAACGGGTTTTTGGAGTTATGAAAAAGCACCTTTGCGGGCCAATCAGTGTGCACACTGGCAGAAAGGATAAATTACAAACCTGAAAGAAAGACCCTCTTTGAGTGTAGTAGAAGCTTTTATGTATAAGTCTAGTAATAGAATGAGAAAGCCGAATGGGAAAGTTAGGTAAGGGATATGATGGAGACTGCTGGGCAGAGCCACCATTAAATCATGATAATTCTATAGGTCATAGATTTTCTTTGTCTCTGAGGCCTTCAGAGTTATAACTGAATCCTACTAGAAGGGAAATGTAGGGTTCAGTCCCTTCTCATCTTTCTTCTTGGAAAGATGAATCCTGATTCACAGGCCTAAATCTTCTATTAGGGGAAGCTTTGTGGGACCCAGAATAGCCACCCTAACTTTTCCACAATTGAGCAACCCCCGACAAAGGAAGTAGGCTTGAAGACCCAGAATGCTTAGTTTAATCAGTTTTAAATGAAAAGTGAAACTTTGTTTTCTATAACATAAATATATGACCTTCAAAACATGTGGTAAGCTGTTTCATTTTTAGAAGGTATATACTATACATTTAAATAAATGAGTAATTCAGGAAGTGGAGAACATTACCCTGAGTGACATAGTCACGCAAAGAAAGACAAATACTACATGATCTCATTTATATATGAAATCTAAAACAATCAAATTCATACAAGCAGAGAGTAGAATGGTGGTTACCGGAGGCTGGGGGCAAAGGGGAGATGGTAGTCAATGGCGGGATACAAAGTCTCAGTTAAACAGGAAGAATAAGTTTGGTTTTTTTTGAGATCAACAGTATATAGCATGCTGAATATGCCTAATAATTGAGTACTGTACATCTTATCACTAAGAATAAATTTCTTATGTTTTCATCACAAGAAATGTTAAATACTTGAGGTGATAGATATAACTAGCTTAATTTCATCATTCTATATTGTATTAAAAATCAGGCGTGAGCCACCACGCCTGTAATCCCAACACTTTGGGAGGTCAAGGCGGGTGGATCACCTGAGGTCAGGAGTTCGAGACCAGCCTGGCCAACATGGTGAAACTTTGTCTTTACTAAAAATACAAAGATTAGCTGGGTGTGGTGGCTGGCGCCTGTAATCCCACCTACTCGGGAGGCTTGAGGCAGGAGGTGGAGGTTGCAGTGAGCCGAGATCACGCCATTGCACTCCAGCCTGGGCAATAAGAGCAACATTCCATCTCAAAATAAAATAAAATAAAATAAAATAAAAGCAAAAAGAAAGAAAGAAAAGCAAAAGCAAAGCTGAAGGAGGATTTTCTTTTTTTTTTTCTTTTTCAAATATACCTGAAGTAGGTACTTGTGAAATTATTGTACAGAGAAGTTGACAGATTCAGCAGGTTAAAACACTGAAATTTGAGGACTGTTTTTGCAATCTGTACTAGGAAAATAGTTGGCACCAAAAGCAAGACTTAGATTATTTTTAGTGCCTCAAGCTTGCTTTCTTAGATAGGGCTTATGCATTCAACTTCTCTGAGAAATTGATCTCAGACCGGGAGCGTTAGAACTGGAAGATACAGTCAGTTTCCTTTTGTTTGAGTCCATGGAAACACGGTAGGTATGGCTGAAAGGGGTTAGATTTTCCTGTCAGAAAATCTGAATTCCTCAAATAGGATTTTTTCCTTTTATTTCAACTCATTTTGCAGCAGTATTTGCAGACGTGAGAGGGATGATCAACTTGCTTTGACCTTTGTAGACATGGGTCTACAAATCCAAATTTAAGACTTGAAATAAAGCATAAAGATTAGGATCTTTTAGACTTGTTGAACACTGAGCTCATTGGTCACAGTAGTTTACTTTAATCTTTCTAAATAATCTTCTACAGGAAACTCTGAGATGCCCTTCAGATATGGAAATTGGGTATAGCTGTGACCTGTTGTGAACCATGTATAAAAACTATTCTCAACTTTTCTATGGATATAGTGATACTAGAGACTACCTCAAATACTGTGTACCCAAATACAAGTATAATCCCGATGCTATTATAATATTAAGTCTTAATATAAATGATATTTGGAGTTTTTATACAGTTTTTATTATAAAATTTTAAGGAAATAATTTCATATGAAACATCATCATTAAAAATTACTACTGTCTGCCCAGCTTGGTTTAGAATGTGAGACATGTGAGACATGGCTCTGGTTGAATCTAAGTATCTCAAAGTTCATCAGCAATCAATGACTGGATGCCTATCATGTGCCAGGTATTCTAAGTGCTGGGATTAAAGAAGTAAACAAATAAAAGAAAATCCCTGCTCTCAAATAAGAGAGGTGAAATAGATGGTATATCAGATTGTGGTAAGTTCAATGAAGGAAAAAAATGATAGGAAGGTAAATAGTGGGATCCCATTCCCAGTTCAGTACCATGCACATGAGAATCTTGGTATATTTCTTTCTTCTATCCGCCCCCTAGCCCCCCCGCAGTTGCAGGGGTCAGGGCTGGTGGTATGCATGCATGACAGCTGTGGGTGCATGTAAGTAGTGATGGCCAGTGGTGGAAGTCAGGATCACCTCATATGGCTGTGGGGGTTGGGGCTTATGGCATGCACACCTGTGACAGTGAAAATTAGTGATGATAGACACTGAAGTCAGTTGCACGTGTACACACAGCTGCAGGGTCAGCCATGGGTGTGCAGAAGTGGGAGCCGTCTTTGTGTATTTCTGAGGAGAAAAACAAAAGCAGAGCCTTTGCAGTCACAGACCTGGGTTTGAATTCCAGTTCTGAAGGCAGGCAAGTTACTTAACCTCAGTTAGGTCCAGAGTCTTTGCATCTGTAAAATGGGGATAATGATTCAATCTGTTTCATATTGCTATGAGTGTTACATGAAAAAATGTACAGAAAGCACTTAGCACAGTGCCTGGCATATAGAAAGGACTCAGTAAATGTGAACTGTTACCATTACTCTTATTATGTTACATCCTGGCTTTCTTAGCATCACTGACCCTGCTTCTTGTTACTTTAGCTTCAGGCTGGGCCCTACTGTCAATGGCCAGCTCGCCTAGAAGTCCAGCAGGGATCCACTGACTTTGTCACCTTGAACCTCACCCTTTCGTAACCTGCCCACGGGATCAAGCATCTCTAGTACCTATGCCTGCCCCAGCTATGCTGGAACTTAGTACGCCCATGGGACAGTGTCCCTGGTACAGAGTAGGAATATGAATGTTGATACTTTCTCCCCCAGCGTTGCCCAGAGAGTAGTGCAGATGCAGTAAATACCAACAGGCAGACTTCCAAGTATGCCACTTTTTGTTTTACTTAAAATTCAGTAATTTTTAGAAGGCACACAAATTAAGTAGAATAACACAGTTCTTTTTTTTTTTTTGGAGACACAGGATCTTGCTCTGTCGCCCAGGTATAAGTGGCACAATCAAAGATCACTGCAACCTCAACCTCCCAGGCTCAAGTGATCCTCCTGCCTCAGCCTCCTGAGTGGCTGGGACTATAGGCACGAGCTATCACACCCAGCTAATTTTTCTACTTTTTGTTGAGATGGGGTTTTCCCATATTGCCCAGGCTGATCTCTAATTCCTGGGCTCCAGTCATCCACCTTCCTCAGCCTCCCAAAGTACCGGGATTACAGGCATGAGCCACCATGCCCAGCCAGAACTCTTTATCTTTAGCAAGAGAATATCTGTATGTGTGTGTGTATGTGTTTGGGGTGTGTGTCTAGCTATGAAGAATATTTCTCTTGTGAAATTGTCTCCATTAAGTACTTAAAAGTATCAGTAATCCCTTCTTTTGAGAAGTAATGTATCTTTAGTACACAGAAAAGAATTTAACTCTTGTGGGTTTGATCATAATAACTTTATTTTTGTCTCTTATAAAGGAAAAGGCCAAAGTTGTTGAGCCCCTGGACTATGAGAATGTTATTGCCCAAAGAAAAACCCAGATTTACAGCGACCCCCTCCGAGATCTGCTTATGTTTCCAATGGAAGATATATCTGTGAGTTCACAAGCACTTCTTTAAAGAAAAAAGCCCCTATTTTTCAAGCCAGTTCTTACAGCAAGAATGTTCTTTATGTTCTAGATCTCGGTAATAGGTCGTCAGCGCAGAACGGTGCAGTCTACTGTACCAGAAGATGCTGAAAAGAGGGCCCAGAGTTTATTTGTCAAAGAGGTAAGAGGCTCAAAGGCCACAGAAGAATATTCTTCATATATTTAAAATATATACAATATTTATATGTCTTTATATATTTGTAACCTGTTTATAAATAAATAAATGTAAAATATTTAAAGTAATCTTCCTTTAATGTAAAGATAAAATGAAATTATTAACATTAACTGGCCTAAATAACAAGTCTATATGATGTTAACAAGTCTATATGATGATAAAGCTTAAACATTTCCACAAGGTGCATACGACCTTAGTGTTTTCCTTTTGGATTTGTATACTCTTTGCACTGGGAGTCAGAGTATTCGAAGGGCATATGAATTGGGATTTATTGCCAGCAACTGGGTAAGAGAGGCACAGTTAATCCATAAAGGAAGATCCCAGTACCAGTAATTGCCAAATGGTTTTAAAAAGCCTGTCGACATAGTACCAGACTTTTAAAAGGTGGACATATATTTACTTTTCCTATATTTCAAATTCAAGATTCCTATTTTCTTTCAGTGTATTAAAACCTATAGCACAGATTGGCACGTGGTAAACTACAAGTATGAGGACTTCTCTGGGGACTTTCGAATGTTGCCATGGTAAGTTTAGCATACCAGGTAAACATGCAACAGGAGAATTATTAAGCTTTTTTACCTTGTTAAAACCACTTGTCGGCCGGGCGCGGTGGCTCAAGCCTGTAATCCCAGCACTTTGGGAGGCCGAGACGGGCGGATCACGAGGTCAGGAGATTCGAGACCATCCTGGGGACTTTCGAATGTTGCCATGGTAAGTTTA